AGTAAGCAAGGGATCCCTGGAGCCAGATAAGATGTAGACACCCTCAAGGTGAAGCCCTCCCTCCCTCTAGGGATTAAGGCTCAGTTGGCTGAACTGACAGCCATAACCAGAAATCTGGGGTTAACCTAAGAGCGTTACCATCCACACGGATTCCCAAGATGCATTTTTTGTTTTGTTTTGTTTTTGTTTTTGGGTTTTTCGAGACAGGGTTTCTTTCTGTGTAGCTTTGCGCCTTTCCTGGATCTCGCTCTGTAGACCAGGCTGGCCTCGAACTCACAGGGATCCGCCTGCCTCTGCCTCCCGAGTGCTGGGACTAAAGGCGTGCGCCACCACCGCCCGGCCGAATATGCATTTTTTGTCCTCCATGCCCTTGCAGAGACATGGAAGCATAGCCACTTCCTTACAGCTGCAGGCTCCCCTATTAGGTACCACCAAGAAATAGACATGCGGTGACAGTCACCCTTTGTAGAGGACATCAAAGGGAACAGGTGAGTTGTCTGCAGGAAACAGGTAACTGACCGTGCAGCCAAGGAAGCAGCTAATCAAACTATGACCATGGCCTCTGGATCTTGGTAGGTCCCTCCATGGGTGAGAGCAACATGAGGATGGAAAAGTGGGAGCCCCACGTGTTGGAGGAGTGGCTTCCATAGGGATACCATTTTCTTCTTCTTCTTCTTCTTCTTCTTCTTCTTCTTCTTCTTCTTCTTCTTCTTCTTCTTCTTCTTCTTCTTCTTCTTCTTCTTCTATTCCCATGGCCTCATAGGAATCGCTTGGGCTGCTTAGGAACTCACTCACTTCTAAAACAGAGTCGTCGATGGCACTCCCATCACAATAGCTTAATTCTGGAGATTGTTCCCGCCTGCCTCAGGTGGATGGGACTTTTATTTATTTAATGTGTAGAGGTGTTTTACCTGCATGTGTATGTGTGTGCTGTTTGTGCAGGGTGTGTGTGTGTGTGTGTGTGTGTGTGTGTGTGCGCGCACGCAGTACCTGAAGAGGCCAGAAGAGGGTGTCAGATCTCCTGGAACTAGAGTTGCAGATGGTTGTGAGCCACCATGTTGTGGCTGGAAATTGAACCCCAGGTCTTCTGAAAGAGCAGCCAATGCTCTTAACCACTGAGTCAAATCTCCAGCTACAGATGGAAAATTTTAAGGACCTTCTATCAGGCTGGATGGAGGCCTACAGTCTCCAAAAATGACTATTTGTATTTCTGAAACTGCCAACCAGATAGAAATGGTGATATACAAATGCATAATCCTCACATCCGTTGGCTCATTCCTCCAGGAATACAAAAGATAAGCTCCTAACCTGGGGAAAGACTAAGAAAGATAGTTCACCGTTAACATCCCCTAAAGTTGGGGCATCGAATTCCTCTTAGTGTGGGTAGACACCATCAGCTGAGTGAAAGCTTTACCCTGTAGGGTAGACAGAGGTCTCTGAGATGGTCCAAATCTTTTTATTTTATTTTTTATATTTATTTTTATTTTTTAAGATTTATTCATTTGTTAAGTATATAGTGTTCTGCCTGCATGTATGCCTGCACACCAGAAGAGGACACCAGATTGCGAGCTACCATGTGGTTGCTGGGAATTGAACTCAGGACCTCTGGAAGATCAGCCACTGCTCTTAACCTCTGAGCCATCTCTCCAGCCCCCTATTTTTTTTTCATTTTTTTAATATTTTATTTTATGTGTGTGGGTGTTTTGCCTTCATGTATGTGTTTCATATGCATGCAGTGCCCATTGAGGCCACAAGAGAGCATTGGTTCCCCTGGAAATCAAGTTACAGACAGTTGTGAGCTGTCATGTGTGCTGGGAATCCAATTCCAGTCCTCTGAAAGCAGCCAGTGCTCTTAACCTCTGAGCCACCTCTCCAGTCCTAGGTCCAAATCTCTGTGGATGTTGTTTGAGACGTGGTCTCATTGTGAAGTTCTGCCTGGCCTGGAACTCTTGATTAGACTAGGCTATTCTCAAACTCACAGATCTCTGCCTGCCTCTGCCTCCCAAGTGGCTGAGATTAAAGTTGTACATCCACTATGCCCAGCAGGGTCCAAATCTTAGTTCATAAAATCATAAAGAAATTTGGACTGCTACAGAGCATCCAAAGGAATAATGGACCAGCCTTCAAGGCCTCAATGACACAAGAGCTACCAACCGCCCCAAGAATTCAGCTGAATCTCCACAGTGCCTGGAGGGAAAGGAAGAGGAAGTAATGGTTTGTTTTTGTTTTGTTTTTTATTGTTTTGTTTTGTTTTTCAAGACAGGGTTTCTCTGTGTAGTTTTTGGTGCCTGTCCTGGATCTCACTCTGTAGACCAGGCTGGCCTCGAACTCACAGAGATCTGCCTGGCTCTGCCTCCCGAGTGCTGGGATTAAAGACATGTGCCACCACCGCCTGGTGGGAAGTCCTTTTCTTACTAAATATTTCTCTTTAAAACCAATTTATGTCAGCCGGGCGGTGGTGGCGCACGCCTTTAATCCCAGCACTCGGGAGGCAGAGCCAGGTGGATCTCTGTGAGTTCGAGGCCAGCCTGGTCTACAAAGTGAGTTCCAGGAAAGGCGCAAAGCTACACAGAGAAACCCTGTCTTGAACCCCCCCCCCCAAAAAAAAAAAAAAAAACAACAATTTATGTCACCAGGAGGTGGTGGCATATGCCTTTAATGCCAGAGCTCGGAAGGCGGAGGCAGAGGCAGGTGGATCTCTGTGAGTTTGAGGCCAGCCTGTTCTACAGAGTGAGTGCCAGAGCAGCCAGGGCTGTTAAATAGAGAAATCCTATATCAAAAACTAAAAAAATAAAATAAAATAAAATAATACAACAATAATTTATGTGTATGGGTCTGTGTCTCTGTGTTTGTATATATGCACGCAGTGCAGGTACCACAGAAACCAGAAAAAGTTGCCAGATTCCCTGGAAACAGAGTTGTGTGCCACCTGATGTGGGTGCTAGGAATCGAAACCAGGTCCTCTGCAAGTGCAGCAAGTGCTCTTAAACACTGAGCCATCTCTCTAGTCTCCATTAATGACATCCTAATATATGAGAAATGAAGCCAGGCACAATGGCAGATCTCTATAAGTTTGAGGCCAGACTGATCTGCATGGGGAGCTCCAAGCCAGTCAGGGTATAACGGATGACATGACCACTCCAAGGTATGGCTGAAGAGAAGATTTTATTCTAGAGAACCAGAGGCATCTGGAAGAATCCGGAGTCAACAGAGAAAGTAGTAGACTGAACATGGCCGGCAGACTGGACTTGGCCATCAGAGGAGAGAGACGGGGGAGAATGAGAGAGGAAGACAAAGGAAAGACCTAGTGTGAGAAGCGAGAGGGGAAAGAGCATTGATCAAATAGCAGGGTTATAAGGAGACGAGAAGCTGGCGGGAGTGAGGTCCCTGGGCTGGAAAAGTTTAGGGTAAGGGGTTGTGTGGGAAGACTCGGGATGCTAACATGGAGACTCTGAAATGTGCAACAGGTACTTGTAATACTGAGGGAGCCTGGGAGCTAACATATACTTTGGTATACAAATAGGTACCAAAGATAAGAACTGGCTTCACAAGTTCCTAAAGAATGCTGACTTTTGTCTGATGACCAGAATTTGGACCTGACAATAGCAAGACCTTGTCTTTCTTTTCTTTCTTTCTTTCTTTTTTTTTTTTTTAAAAGATTTATTTATTTATTTATTTATTTATTTTGTTTGTTTGTTTTTTTGGTTTTTTGAGACAGGGTTTCTCTGTGTAGCTTTGCGCCTTTTCCTGGAACTCACTTGGTAGCCCAGGCTGGCCTCGAACTCACAGAGATCCGCCTGGCTCTGCCTCCCGAGTGCTGGGATTAAAGGCGTGTGCCACCACCGCCCGGCAAGATTTATTTATTATGTATACAATGTTAGAAGAGGACACCAGATCGCATTACAGATGGTTGTGAGCCACCATGTGGTTGCTGGGAATTGAACTCAGGACTTCTGGGAGATCAGTCAATGCTCTTAACCCCTGAGCCATCTCTCCAGCCCAAGACCTTGTCTTAATAATAATAATAATAATAATAATGACAATAATAATAAATTAAAGATCAGATGAATTATTTAACCTCTTTGGCTCCAACCTGCTCAGAGACACAACCCTAGACTGCGGGAAAGTCCACTCTTCAACCCAGGGCACCTAATGATAGTCTGACCATCATATGACAGGTCTCATCCCTTCACCCATTTGTTCGGGAGTCGATCAGGGGGTTCTTTTCATCCCTTCTGCAAAAGTTCCTGGAATTGACTTTTGGATTTATCACATTTATCTTCACCTTGAATTTCGGATCCCTCCTCCCCAAGGGCACCCCAACTCCAGAAGAGCCTTATTCTTAGGAACAGACAGAGCCAAGAGTATCTCCACACGAAAACAAGCAAATGTAGAAATGCAGTGGATGCCACTAAGTCTGGCTAAAGGGGACGGGCCTTGTCGTTTTGTCCTCCTGATTTTCCGCCTTTAGGGCTTACCTGCCCGTTCTCAGAGCACCTCTGCTTTCCATAATGACCTTTCGTCAACATCTGCCCACGATGGGTGACATCATAGGTTTCCTTTTCTCCGGTATCCTCATGTGTGGCTTGCTTCTCCTTTCAACTCTCTACCCAGGAAGAGGGATTCTCCTATGCGGGTGGTGGCGCGTGCCTTTGATCCCAGCACAGAGATCCACCTGCCTCTGCCTCCGCCTTCCAAGCACTGGCATTAAAGGCATATGCCACCACTTCCTGGTGACATAAATTGGTTTTAAAGAGAAATATTTAGTAAGAAAAGGACTTCCCGCCGGGCGGCAGTGGTTCATGCCTTTAATCCCAGGCAGGCAGAGCCAGGCTGATCTCTGTGAGTTCGAGGCCAGCCTGGTCTACAGAGAGAGATCCAGGACAGGCACCAAAACTACATAGAGAAACTCTGTCCCCGAAAACCAAAAAAAAAAAAAAAAGACTTAGATTCCTTTAGATTCTCTCCTATAAAAGCACACTCTAAATGTGATCAGCCTCCCACCTTCTCTAGCCCATCTTTAATCCAAAATGATGGCTCAGTTCATCCGTAAGAGTTTCTTCCTGCCTTCCCGCGTCTCCTCCACTTCAGTTCCGATGGAATATTCACATTCCACCTGGGCCTCCCATTCAGACTACTGAAGCTCATTGGCCCCTGTGGTCCTTCCTGGGGTCGGTCACACGACGATACAATGGAGACATTAATCTTCTTCCTCAAGAGGTTGAGAAGGGTCAGACAAAGTGATGGCTTCACTGGGTGGACACCCGGCCCGCGCCTGCCCTGTTTGTTTTTCCTCCGTCCCCTCGGTCAGGAAGAAGCTGTGAGAGAGGGATGTTTCCCGGGGAGAGGGGCAGGTACAAGGGCTTACAAGCGCTGAGGTAAATGGGAAGGGGGGCTGGGGTTTCAGGTTGCCTTCCCCCAGGGCCAGGTCACCCTGATAACCCCGGAGGAATTCTGTGGCCTAGGGGGTGGCAAGATAGAACGGCAAATCCATTGCTGTGCTAAAGTAAAACTCTGCAGACTTCAATTTGGGGGCACTGATGGATAGGACGTGGCTTCTTTGAAGCTGAGCCTGGACCAGTCACTCTCCAGGAGATGCCTCTTTTGCTTCTTCTCCTTCTAAATGCATCCTAGCATCCCCAAGAGGAGGGGGGAGGAGGGACTCCAGAGGAAGCAATGGAAAAGATCTAAGCCCTGAGTATTGTCCCCATATTGAAAGGGTCCTTAAAGGGGCAGATGAGGGGGCAAGGGGCTCTGGCTACCATTGGTACAGGCAGGTCCTAGGGTCCTACTTGTGGCTGGGGGTCAGCTGATGAAAACACATATCCTTCTTCTCACCAAGGCTGGTGCGCCAAGGATCCTCCTCCCCATCACCGCCCTTCCCTTAGAGAGCCTGCTGAGGCTGGAATGAAAAGAATCTGAACTACAAACAGACCTCTTGGCTGCCTCCCCAACTCTTCTCCAGCCTCTCCAAGGCTGCAGGCTTCCAGGCAAGGCTGAAAGGGGGCCTAGGTGGGAAGACCCCACACAGAGACCCCAGAGAAATGGGTGCGGAAGTAAGATGAGGGGAGAGAGACACTACACAAGCATATTTTTTTAAATAGGGTCTCACTCTAAGTTCCAGTTAGCCTGGAACTTAACCACATAGTCCAGGCTGGCCTCCAATTCTTGGCAATCCTCCTGCCTCGGCTTTCTCAAGTTCTGGAATTATAGATGTGAGCCAGTACTTACGGCTTGGAAAAAAAAAATCATACTTTCCAAGCCAAAAATCAAAACCTTTACAAGTCGATTTGCTGGAGTCATGGCATTAGGGATTTGAAACCAAGCTCACTCTAGAATGAGCCAGGCTGCGGAAGTCTCCATCCAACCCAGGGTTGACCTGTGCCCCCAGCCCTTGTCTCCTCTCTGCTTGGCTCTGTTCTCTCAAGGGCTGAGCTCTCCTGGTGCTAGCCAGGCAGCATTACAGCCCGAGAACGCTCTGGATAGCCTGGAAGACTCGGGAAACACGGAGAGTGGTCCCTAAAAGGACAGGAGGCACAGAGCCAAAGGCCACTCCTGCCCACCACACTTCCCCAGAGCCCAGCATCCTGCCCTCTGGAGCCTCCTCCCTAAGCTACCTGAACAATGTGGAACTTCGGTGTGATTTAGCCAGGACTGTACATGCCGTGAGATACCCAGGCAGTGTCCTAGAAGGGTGACCTCGGGAGAGGACCAGGGAACAAGAGAGAAGAAGCTTCCAGCCAGGAGCAGGAAATTGCCTGAGGCAAGATGACCTCTTTCCAAGGGCAGCTCTCTCCAGCTTGTCTAACACAGCTCCTGCCAAGGGTGGTATAGAAAGGCACCGAGCCCACAGCAGGCTGGGGAAGGACATTGAAAAGGCAGCTTAAGGGCTTCCTGCTGGGTGAGATGGATTAGGGGCCTGTGGGGAGTGAGTCCAGCAGCAGAAAGGCACTGGCCCCATGCCAGAGTCCCTTGGCCAAAGACACTCTGAGACCAAGAGTCCCTGGGTATCTGGCAGGCTGGAAGTCAGCATCTTCCACCTGGCTGAGTGGCCCAGACAGAGTGACATATGGTGATAAGGAGAGAGGCCACAGAGCACGAAAACTGAGGAAGGAAAGGGGCCCTGCTTGTGGGAAGCAGCGGACATTTCACAGGAAAAACAAATGACTTCGCCAGTGATTTTATCCATGTCTCCCTGAGACCTTGAACTATCTTTGTCCTTCAGGGCTGGTTCACTCCTGGGCTTTGTTTCTCTAGTCTGTAAAATGGGAGCTCTGAGGCAACACTGGCAGTGGGATAAGTAGGGGAATCCTGTTTTGTCTTATCTATCATCTGTCTATCTATCTATCTATTTATCTATCTATCTATTGGTTTTTCCAGACAGGGTTTCTCTGTGTAGCCCTGGCAGGCCTGGAACTCACAGAGATCCTCCTCCCCCTACCTCCTGAGTACTGGACCACTATGCCCAAGACTTTAAAAGTGCATGGCCCAGGGCTCTAACAAGGAGCCTGAGGCAGGAGAATCACAAGTTAGAGGTTACATAGTGATATCCTAACTCAGAACAAAAATCAATCTGTCAAAGATAGGTGATGTGGTGCATGCCTTTAATCCCAGCATTCAGGAGGCAAAGGCAGGCGGCCTCATCACCGTGAGTTTGAGGCCACCCAGAGCCACAGAGTGAGACTCTGTTTCGAAAAACAAAAAAACAAAGTAAAAAAAAAAAATCAATCCATCAGTCATATTGAAGGCTATGTGGCTCCAGGGACCAGAAGCATCATTATCGTGTTTTGTTTTGTTTGTGTTTGTGATTTTGTTTTTGTTTCTGTTTTTTGGAGACAGGGTTTCTCCGTGTAATTTTGGTGCCTGTCCTGGATCTCGACTCTGTAGACCAGGCTGGCCTCGAACTCACAGAGATCCGCCTGGCTCTGCCTCCCAAGTGCTGGGATCAAAGGCGGCGGCCACCACCGCCCGGCTGTGATTATTCCTTTGAGGCTAGAGTCTTACTAAGTTGCCTGCCCAGGTAGGCTTCTACCTGCTGGGTCAAGCGACCCTCTGGCCCCATTCCTCCTAATATCTGGAACTATGTGCAAGCAGCTCGAGTCCTGTGTTTAGAGCAAAGACATCTCCTCCGACAGCTGGAAGCAGGCTAACATCCTCACGTCCCCACCCCACCTCACGGGACAAACCAGCGGGTGAGAAAGTTTCACCCAGCTAAGATGTGGGCAGCCACTGAGGAGATCCTTTGGGGGGGAGAAGAGGCTTCAGTGCTGGACACTCCAAGCTCAGGATGTGCCGGCATCGGCGCGGCCCTGTCTCCCAACTCACTGGGTCAGTCCCTTTCTTTGTGCTCAGTTCTTTCCCACAGCCCAGCAAGGGGGGTGCTAGGATCCCAGGCCCACCCCCTCCTGCTGGGCAGCACCCCATCAACCCCCACATAAAAAGCTTGAGAGGGGACCGGGAGGTGGGGACGTTCTCACTCCGAGGAGGCCTCGGCACCCTTCTCTCTTTCTGGGGAACAAGAAACTTGCCAAAGGCCTGGGCCCCTTCCTCATCCCCTGGCCCCAGCGCTGGCTCCCCCAGACAAAAAGCTGCTTTACATGAGAAGAGCGGGCTGGCCTGGCCTTACCCGGGCACTCAAAGAGGCGGTAGCCCCTGACAGCCGGGGCTGCCCCTTCCCCCACAACGAGGCCTCGTTTAGTTGCAATTAGCAATTCTTTGCATACGCCCCTCGAGGCTGGAGGGACGCGGGTCCTCACCCCCGAAAGTCAGCCTTCCACCTTCCTGGAGTCTGCCCGCTCCTCTTTCTCCACGGAGCCTCTCTTCACCGCCCTGTCCCAGCTGGGCACCGGGCTTCCTAGGAGTTCTCCATAGAAGGAAGCCCAGCCGAGGAGCGAAACGGAGAACTCTGAGGCTGGGGGTGGGGTGGGGCAGAGGAGGAGGCTGGGGTTGCTCAAGCTGGAGGACCCATCACAAACCCGCCCTGCCGCGACCCTCCTCCCTTCCTAAGCCATCCCCTCTCCAAATCAAGCCTGACTTTTGGATGGCATAGAAGAAGGACCAAAGGAAAAGAGGTTTCTAGTAAAGAGATCCAAGGGCGAGGTGGTGGGTGGGTGGGTGGGAGGGAGGGTGGGAGTGGCCGGGAGGGGGCTGCATGGGAGAAATCAGGGACTCAGTTCTCTCCTGGCAACTTGACTGTCAAAGATTGCATCTCTCATTTCGAGGGGCTTCCGTGTAGGGCACAGCTAAGAGTTTTTCCAGGGACCAGACAGGGAGCAGTAGTAGGGTAGGCCAGGCTTGGAGAATGAAAAGGAGACCATAGGATCCCGGGTCCTTTTTAGGCTCACCCTTAATCTAGAGGGATGAGGGCGAGGAAGAGGGACTGTCTCTCAAGAGGGGTCTCCAAGCCCTTGAGCCATATTATTTCCAGGGTCTCCCCCTCCCTCCCTCTAAGACTCTGATAGGTTTTTCTTGTCTCCACTAGGGGGAGCCTTCGGTACGGTGGAAACTTTGCAGGCCTGGAGGAGGACGCCTAATAGCCACAAGGGTTTTACTTTTCTCCTGGGACAGAAATCAAATGTCCTGCTGGGAAAGGAGATACCATCTTGATCTCTGTGAGGAATGGAGCAAGGTAGCAACACTCGGTGCTCCTGTTGGGTGATAAACGGGTGTGTCAAGGCAGAGGGAGGAGGGCACTAAGCCTCCCTGAGGTCACCTCCACCTCCAGTACAGCATCGGGAGAAGTCAGGTTCCTGGTTGAGGCGGCCTGTGAGCATCTTCCAAAGGGTTTTTAGAATTTATAACAAGAATAGGAGTAGTGTAACACGAATTTCTAAAGGTCTTACCATAAAAAAAAACCTGGAGCCTGATACCGGGGTGATAGCTGAAAGATCAAAGAAGCAGCCACAAGTCACAGCCACCACCTCTTACCTCACCAGCTGAAAGAGCCGCTATCTCAAAGGGACACTTCTGCTGAAAAGCCTTTAGTTCCTGTCTCTTCAGGCCTTATAAACTTTTCTTTGCCCAGCCATTACTTCCTGGGATTATAGGTGTGTGCTTCCCAGTCCTGGGTTTAAAGGTGTGAGCCTGGCTCTGTTTTCTCTCCTAGACTGAGTCAATCTCATGTTGTCCAGGGTGGCTTTGAACTCAGAGATCCAAACAAATCTCTGCCACCGAGTGCTAGGATTAAAGGTGTGTGCCACCACTGCCTGGCCTCTGTGTTTAATCTAGTGGCTTGTTCTGTTTTCTGATCTTCAGATAAATTTTATTAGGGTACACAATATATCACCCCATTTCCCTTTTTTTTTGTCTAAAATAGTAAAAGAAGGTTATAACTAATATAAGAAAAACAATATACAATAAGTACAATAAGTATATATAATATATACAGTCAAGAATTACATTAACAATGTCCAGTCCATTAGCATTTGACAAATTCAGAGAAAAGACTCCATTATTTATCCTATTTTGGTGAATCCAAAGTGTAGTACCTAATTCACTTCTTTTTTTTTTTTCTTTTTTTTCAGAGCTGAGGACCAAACCCAGGTCCTTGCGCTCTACCACTGAGCTAAATCCCCAACTCCCCTAATTCACTTTCTATCCTAACTTGTATTACCAACCAAAAACTATCTTTTGATGTCTTTCAAACTTATACACTTTACATCTCTTTAGGGAGTTTCTGTTCTGAGTTTGTTAACAAGGAAAACTATAACTATCTAGCCTTCAACTCTATCAGAGACCCAAGAAGGAAATAATATTACCTAAGTAAGCAGGAAGTGCAAATAAGCAACTTCTGAAAAATGTGAGAAATGACAGAAACAGCTGGCTGCCTGGACAGTCACCCAAGGTTCCTCTGCAATGTTGGGGCATCCATCTTCAGCCAACAGGCCTAGCATATCTGACAGACTTTTCTGTGAAGCAGGATTTTCTGAATGGCTGTCCTATCTTGTCTTGGCAAGGTTTGGCAGACCTTTCTTTTGTGTCCTGCTTGTCCATTTTGGACAGCATACTGTCGGCAGTCAAGGCAAGGGCACTTTCTTGCCCAGTGGCTAACTTTTGCCACAAAGAAAGTAAACTCCATATGGATGATGCCCATCATCTTCTCTGAAGTAGATTGGTGCTGCCAGAAGCAGACATGTCTCATAGTCATAAAAAGAAGAAGAAGAAGAAAAAGAAGAAGAAGAAGAAAAAGAAGAAGAAGAAGAAGAAGAAGAAAAATCTATGTTATTAAAACATCTTAAATGCCATATTCTGTAGATCTCTGAAGTGTTTGAAGATGACATGTTTATCTAAAATATATCTGTTTGACCTTGAAAACATACTTAATATGACTACAAGTTCGATTGTAATAGGTGAACAACTACTAACCTTCATTTCTTTATTATCCTAATTAGTTGGTAATAACTTTCAAGGACTAGAAAATTGCATTACATTGTTAAATGAGCTGTATAGGTACAATACCTTGAACAAGTTTAGAAATGTATGTACAGAATGTTCTAACAAAATTTATCTCACATTTGTATCAATATACAAAATTTGTATACAGCATACAAAATTCCAATCCAATTTAAAACTAGTAGTTGCTTTTTAAAAGTAGATTCAATAATCCACCTTTTTATCATATCTATATCCCTTTTTTCAGAGTAGATTCAATAATCTACCCTTTTATCCTATCTTTTTTTAAGAGTAGATGCAATATCTACTTTTTATCCTATCATTTCTATATAATACATTTCTATATCAGGGTAGAGCTGAATTTGAGGCACAGCAGGAACCCCATGGGGATTGCCTGTTTGGGTGGGCATTGTGTAGGTCTAGGAAACAGAAAAAAAGAAAAGTCTGGCTGCTTTGGGGAATGTGGCTTATTTTTGACACTGGATCTCATACTCTCCCTGCTGCTGGTTTGGAACTCAATGATGATCTTCCTGCCTCTGCTTCCTAATTCCGGAGATCCTGGGTGTGACCCACCATGCTAGGCTCTTTTTGTTTATTTTGAGGCAGGGTCTTGTTTGCTATGTGGACACTTAACCCCACCTACAAAGTGGTGGAATTACAGAGTGCAGCAATGTGCTCAGCTGAGATCTGCTCCTTTTGTCGATCTCTGATGGGCTCTCAAAACTCAGCCTTAAGCTTGAGAGATGGCCCAGAGGGTAAAGACACTGGCTGTCACATATGATGACCAGAGTCAGATCCCTTGAGCCTGCATGGTAGGAAGGAGAGAACCAGCTCTCACAGGGTGTCCTCCGACCTCCATATGAGTGCTGTTGTACCCACATACATACATACATACACAACAAAAAAATAAAAATAATAAATGAAGGAAAGTTTTTAAAAAATCAAAATAATAACAGTAAAACCTCACAGCCTTGGGACCCGCTCTCACAAACCAGAAGCAGGAGGAAATTGCGGCTCTATTCTCAGAGAAGTGGTGTATGAGGGAGGCCCCAGGATTCCTTCCTGTGGGGTTTAAAGACGCCCTTTCTCCTCAGAAATTCTCAAGCTCAGCTGGGCAGTGATGGCAGGGCACAAGTCTTTAATCCCAGCACTCAGGAGGCAGAAGCAGATGGATCTCTGTGATTTCGAGGCCAGCCTGGTCTACAGAGTGAGTTCCAGGACAGCCAAGACTACACAGAGAAACCCTGTCTATAAAGGGGAAAAAAAAAGAATTCCCAAGCTCTGGGAAAGAGCTACATCAGTGAAGTAGGAATTTGAGCTCCTAAGCAGAGGTGAGGGAGGGCGGAGGTGAGGGAGGGCAGAGGTGAGGGTGGGCAAAGAGGAAAACCGTGGGAAGGAAGCAAAGCCTGCTGGGGCGGAAGCCATAGTCCTTGGGTGAAGTGAGACCTCCACTCCTTCCCAGGAGCTCCCAATGTCAGTGCCTCAGAAGGCCCCAGGTGGACTAGACATCTGGGATTCTTCAGCTTGCTGAGGACTTGGGGGCCTCTGGGCTTGTGAAGCCTCCACGGCCACCTAACTCTCCTTGAAGGAAGGAATTTAACGGGGGTCAAGTGTTGGGAGCTTTGGGAAGGAAGCCGTGTAAGGCTGCAGGAAATTGTCTCTGGAGAGCCTCCTCCCTTAGTCCCTGCTGGAAGAGCTCACTCACAGCGCCGCTCAGCAAGTGCATTCTCCTCAGGCTGGAAGGAGGACCCGGGTAAAGAAACCTGAGCAGCTTTAGGAGGCCCACGCTGTGAGTCACTGACGCTTCTCCTGTATCTACCTGACCTAGCCTTGCCCCAGCCTAACCCTCCCTGACCCGGGAAGTCTGGAATTCTATGCTGCCAAGACCCGCAGCCCCTGCCTCAGTCACCAGTCTGTGTTAGCCTCGCCAGTGCCCAGGCTTTCCTGCCCCCTTTATCACTGCCTCCCTGCATCTCTTCTCCCCAGAACCATATTTGGACTTGCAGAACTCCCTGGAACCTGCCATAGCAGCATCCCTCCCCCAGGAGTTTTCTCTTCTCAGGACACAGACCACATTCCCTCCTCTCAATGTTACAGTTGCCCCAGATCTTCTTACCCACAGATTCCACACCAAAGCATTCAACCAATCACAGGTCTAAAACAGTATGAAGGGGGAAAAAAAAGGTGTGTGTCTGCATCAAACATCTTTTTTTCCCTTCTTATTATTCCATAAACAGTAACAATTTTTCCACAAAGCACTTAAAAGACAGGAGGGATTGTTAGTCTCCAAGAAGATGTGTACAGGCTGTACCCAAATACCACGTCATTTTGTATAAAGGATTTCATCACCTGAATATTTTGGTACCCACATGGTTACTGGAAGCAGCTCTTCTGGATACCAAGGGATGCCCATATTTGAATCATCCCATCTGTCTACACCAAGCAGACAGCTCCCAGAGTAACTCTGACTCATAGAGAAAGAATCTGAGTCACCCATGACATTTAAAATATTCTAGTAGCCACATATTTTAACAGGAAAAAAAATTAAGACAAGTAAAATTAACCCCAATAACATCTAATTCAACGACCTAAATGATTTCCATATGTAATCAATATAAAATAATTAAGTTTGCCTTTTTTTTTTCTTTTTTTTTTCTTTCAAACTGTCTTTGGAATTGAGTTTGCACTTACAGTGCTCCTCAGTTTGGATCAGTTGCGTGCTCATGACGCGTACACCACAAGTGGTGAAGACACTGAGCAGCCATTGGGTTTCCTGGCACCTGCCTTGATCCCAGTCCTGAGGAGGCAGAGACAGACAGATCTCTGAGTTCAAGGCCAGCCTGTTTTTCATAGACAGTTCTAGGCCAGCCAGGACTACATGGTGAGATCCTGTCTCAAAACAACAACAACAGCAACAAAAGATACGAACCCGTGGGGCTTATAAGATGGCACAGCAGGTAAAGGCAGTTGGCAGGCAAACCTAAGGACCCGAGTTCAATCCCTGGAACCCACATAAAAGGTGGAAGGAGAGGACTGACTGTACAGGTTGTCATATAACCCACACCCACATGCTGTGACATGTACACACCTAAGCACATGCATCTCTCTCTCCCTCTCTCTTACACACACACACACACACACACACACACACACACACACACACACACACACGATAACAGTAAAATTAAGAACTAAGGGCTGGAGAGAAGGCTCAGAGGTTAAGAGCACTGACTACTCTTCCAGAGGTCCTGAGTTCAATTCCCAGCAACCACATGGTGGCTCACAACCATCTGTAACGAGATCTGGTGCCCTCTTCTGGCCTGCAGGCATACATGCTGTATACATAATAAATAAATAAATCTTAAAAAAAAATTAAGAACTCACAGAGAAACCCTGTCTCGAAAAACCAAAAAAAAAAAAAAAAAAAAAAAAAAATTAAGAACTAAAAAAAGATATTGAACAATGTGTGGAACCTGTTTGGCTCCATCAAAAAGTCCAGGTAATAGCCCATTTAAAAAGTTGTTGGAAGGGCTGGGGAGATGGATCAGTGTTTAAGAGCACTGACTGTTCCTCCAGGACCTGGGTTCAATTCCTAGCACACACATGGCTGCTTACAACCGCCTGTAACTTCAGTTCCAGCGGGATGCAATGCCTCTGGCCTCCAAAGAGACTTGTACTCATGTATGCAGACACACATGCAAACACATAATTAAGACTATGAAATTGAAATCTCTTTTAAAATGTTTTTATTTATTTTTTAATTGTTGGGCTGGGCCTGGTGGTCCAGGCCTTTGACCCCAGCACTCTGGAGGCAGATGCAGACAGATCTCTGTAATTTCTAGGCCAACCTGGTCTACATAGTGAGTCTAGGCTAGTCAAGGCTACATAGTGAGACTCTGCCTCAGTGAAATGAAATAAAATAAACTGTTAGGGGCCTAGAAAGATGGTTAAGCAATTAAGCACACCAGCTGTTCTTCCTGAGGACCTGGGTTCCGTTCTCCTTTTCCACATGGTGGCTCACAACCATCTGTGACTCCAGTTCCAGGGAATCCAATGTCCTCTTCTGGCTTCCATGGGCATTGAAAACACATGGTGCACAGACAAAAAAAACCTCATACACATAAAATACCTTGTTGTTGTTGTTTTCAAGACAAGGTTTCTCTGTGTAGCTTTGGCTGTCCTGGAACTTGCTCTCTAGACCAGGCTGGCCTCGAACTCACAGAGATCTGCCTGCCTCTGCCTTCCAAGTGCTGGGATTAAAGGCATGAGCCACCACCACCACCTGGCTAAAATACTTTTTTATGAAAAAAAAAAAAATACTGGGCTGGTGAGATGGTTCAGTGGGTAAGGGCGTTTGCCACCAAACCTGACGTCGTGCATTCATTCCCTGGGACCCAGACGGTGGAAAAAGAAAACCAATTCTTGCAAGTTGTCCTCTGACCTCTGCACATCCACTGCGGTGTACGCATGCCCCCACCTCACAAATAAATGTAATAAAAAACTATTGGGGGCTGGAGAGATGGCTCAGCGGTTAAGAGCACTGGCTGCTCTTCCAGAGGTCCTGAGTTCAATTCCTAGCACCCACATGGCGGCTCACAACCATCTGTAATGGGATCCAATGCCTTCTTTTGGTGTGTAGACAGAGCATTCATATACATAAAACACATAAATAAATATTTTTTCAAAAATGTTATCGAAAGGCTAGCTCATTGGTATAGTCTTTGCCTGAGTTTAATCCACAATGCACCTGGTGGAAGAATTGAACTGATCCCACAGAATATTGCTCTGAACTCCACAGGAACACCAAGATCTGCACATGTGTGCACATAACGCAGCACAATAAATTCATTAATTAAAAAAAATTTAAAGTTTTTTTTAAAACATATGTGAGTGTTTTCGCTACACTCATGTTTGTGTACCATATGTGTACCAAGGAAGCTAGAAGGTGTAAGTTACAGACAGTTGTGAGCTGCCATGAGTGTGCTAGGAACCGAACCTGGGTCCTCTGTAAGGGCAACGGGCACTCTTAACTGCTGAGCCATCTCTCCAGCCTCCTGCCCCCTCCAAAAATTATTTTAAATTAAAAAGAAAATGCTTGCGTTTGAATATTAGCTCAACACTGTGTGACCTTAGGCAGGTCCCTTAACTACTCTGTGCCTTAACTGTCTCAC